AGGGGATCTTCCCAACTCAGGGATCACACCTGCATCTATTATGTCTGTCTCCTGCATTGGCAGATGGGTTCTTTACCACTAGCGCCCCCTGGGAAGAAGCATACAGAGTGGCAAACATTTGGGCATATCCTAGGATATCTGCTGGCCAGGAGCCTACTCTGATTCCTAGATTGGGGGCAAGCGCAAACATAAGGGAAACAGTGGATGCATAGATCATGACTGCTAAAGAGTACATAAAGCCCAGTATTCAGAGAATATGTCTCTATTAGAACTTGGGAACAGAGCAGGTAATTAAATTTGGGGAACATAAGGAAACCTCAGTTTTCCAAATTGGAGCAAAAGGTCAAACCAGAAGAGCAACTAAAGCTACCTTTAGAGTGATGGACCACATCTCTTTGAAATGAAGAAAGTGAAATGCTGGTTAATCATTTACTTAAAATCAGTGATGACACTGCACGTAAAGGTTAATGCCAGGCTCACAGCAGGTCTGTAATATTTGTCAGTCCTTCTACTTTCTCCCCAGATCAACAACTAGGTGGCAGCCCTCGAATGCCCAGAGCACCCTCAGAAGTAGTCTAAGCCCCAGGCGTTAAAAGATGAGTGAATCCAGTGAACCACATTCCGTAAGGCACTGGGAGGTGTTCAGATGTTGGACACACGATAGGAAAGCTTTTCATCTGTACTCTCCACAGTCAACAAGAGTCCCCATTCACTCAAGTACAGATTTGTCCTAGGGACCCTGGCCAATATGAAGCCCGCAAAAACAAGCCCGCTTCATGAGTTCCATTATACAGATAATCTCCATTAGAGCTATCAAAACAGGGGGATTTTAAGTAGGTCTCTCACAGTTACTGAAAATGTTAGTGGTTCTAAGCAAGACTGATAGTTGTTTTCAAACAAGAGTGTCTCACCCCTTAAACCTCAACCACAGGGCATTACTTTCTCAGTGGTTCTGTATAAAAGCCTGAACATCACTTGATAAAGTATGAACATTCTGAAAAGAGTCACAGGAAGCTCTTTCCTATTCATGTCATATAAGGTACTGAGGCTTCAACACAGAAACAATACACTAGAAGGTCATATACAAAATGATGGGGCTGTGTCTGTGAAATAAACTTTCTTCACTCATATGTGACTCAGGTGACATTTCTTGAGCCAAAGTGCTTGGCTCTATACCAGAGACTATACTCACCAAGGAATATACCTAGATCTCTGAAATTATGCCACCAACAACATGCCACAACTGGGCTTCAAACTGGAAATTACATTCTTTATAAGAATTATTCTCAGTTGTACATGTGATCACAAGTATATACAATGTTGTTATTCAAACAACCTCTTCTTTTGATTGGTGTTTCAGAAGAAACATTGCATTTGTTAATATCAAATATGCTAATGTATCACAGTGTCTGTTTTCCCTTGTATCCATTCTGAAGATATTCTGAGTTTATCTTTGAAGAGTGAGTGTATCTGGCAATTAAAGTGTGAAGGTACAAGCTACATAGCCTCTAATTGATCCAAAGCAGTGATCCTGTCTCACCCTAGACAAATTACTATACCACAAGTCCATCCAACTGCAATTGTGGATGGAGTCAATATTAAACCCAATCCAAACTTTATAGGTCTTCCTCTACCTTAATTCTCTATGTCCAGTTTTACATGACTAGTATTGCCATTTATTTTCCTTCTGTAGGGATAAGTATTATTTTTATTATTGTTATGCATGTTAGAGTTCTTTTTAATTAATATTGAGTAACTTTTTAAACATGTCTTTCCTAGAAATGTCACTAGTAAAATGCATCCAATTTTTCTCTAATGTGGTGCTTTCCCTGTCCATAAAACTTATTTGATTAGCAGTACTATAGAAGCTAAAGCTTTTGTACGCAGGCACTCAAGCATAATTTAATCATTTTATTTAAGCATGAAAAAAATTATTCTGAAAGCCCTGTTAGGTAAAATATCCCTGATTAATTTAAACTTAAAGGTGAAATAAATCATAGAATGCCCAGTATGCAATGGAATAGTGTTAACTTTGTTATAATAGTCAGCAGTAAGTTAAAAATTGCAATATTAGAGAATGTAAGGAATAACTATCTCAATTTAAATAACTGCATTTAAACAGGTTACTTTAAAATAAATTTTGTTTTATGTGAAACCATTTTGTATTACAAGGATTTCCACCTATGGAAATCTCTTTCATAGTCAAACGAGATGAGGTCCTAATTGCATAATACCATTTATCTGCTGAGGATAAAAGTGCCAACAAATGAAAATGCACATTAGGCAAGAGATTGTCAGAATAGAAAATTGTCTTTTTTATTTTTTTAATTTTTTTTGTTTTTTTGTTTTTAAATAACCCACTCACATTAACAAAAGACTGCAGTAGCTTCCAAATTATAGGTTGTTATTTTTAGTGGAAGTAGTTCAATATTCATATTGGAGCAGATGTAGCAGTTTAACAAAACAGCTCTTCAAATCCTGCACAAATTGAAAACAGGAAAACTGATTGCATTTTCTCTTATCACTTTCCTTTTCTTAATTGACACTTTTGGCCTTCTGAAAATTTACACATGGCTTTCATCTCAACAGCACCTGCTGATCAAACAGAAACCTAACATTTTCATGAAAATGGTATAAAGGACTAGTTTTGTTCTAAATGTTGTAAAGAGCATCAGTTGCCTAACCTGATGACAAGAACTGCTGGGTATAAGGCATATTCATTATAGTTTTATATTTTCACTAAACTTTAAAAAATATATTAAGTCCCTTCTGGTTTTTTCCATGTTCACTTTTCATACGATTCAAATTTCTTTGACTCCAGTTCTGCCTAAAACTTAAGTTTTATTATGCAAAGACTAAGCAAAATGTGTAAAAGGGTAGATTACACACAGAATACTATTTTCTCTGTCACTGCTTAGAATACATGTTTATCTATACATACTGCTTTCTATTCAGTCACATGAATGTAAAATATATACATTCTGCTTTCATATTCCACCCACAGGAAAAAGGAAAGTCAGACCCTATTTTTGAAGGGGACTTACACATGTCTTTAAACAGATACAGATTTAGCAGGTGCTTGAATATCCCCAACTGGAGAAAAATGGATGTCACCTGAGCACAAACTACCTAAATGATGCGACCAACCCATTCAATGTAAGTATCTCTGGGAAGGTAAAGGTAAAGCTTGAAAATGGGTATTATTATATGTAAAATGCAACGACTGATAGCTAAGCAGCTCCCCAGATTGTCAAATAAAAGTATATCACATATTTATCTGTTACACCTGATTTTAAGTAAAATTAAAGATGTCCCTAAGAAATGCTCTCTGTCAGCTCACTGGCAAAAGATCTCTACCCTTCTGAAGGATTCCAGGCTGTCTATTCCCATTCTGCCTGGGTGACAAGGTAACCCCAGGCAGAAATGACATACAGTAAATATATGTGCCACTCTGGCCAGTTGGACTGTGAATTTCAGTGTTTCATCATGCTCACTGAGGCAACAGCAAACCTGAAATGTCAATATGTTCAGTCAATGGAAGTGAAATAATGGGACTCTATTGTCTTACCCAATCGATCTGCTGTCAACAAGGAAACATGCCCCCCTGCCTTTAAACAAATTTTAATTAGGCTCTTAGTTACTGGATTATATTTACCTATGAAAATAGTTATCCTGACTATGTGTAGGAAGCAAAACAATTGTTTTTTCCACTTTAACCCATTTTAAAAACCTTCTAAAGTTGATATTATAATTTTTAAACACACTCAAAAGAGTGTATCAAACACGTTTCAAATTAAACTGGTTGATTAAACGTTTTAAAATTATTTTCATTTTAAACCAATTCCAAGGGGGGGGGGGGAATCCCACAGCTTAAATTCAACATGCAAATCTACCTTACAGATTTGATTTTTGTTCCCTCTGGACCTAGTTGAAATCATACTATAAAATCAACTAATTCCACATTAAAAGTAGGTTTCATTTGCTCTTCTCACTCACCCAAGTACTACCAGTAGCATCAATTCACCACCCATTCAAAACCTGTCACACGGAGCCAAACACAAATGATCAATTCCAAAAGCCTCAACCGATTTTGCTCAGTTTATCAATCCTACAAATAAGGGGTAAATGAAACTCTTGTTATAAGAAGGGAGACGGTGCTAAGGAGGGCAGGAGGTGGGGGTGAAAAGAATATAAGGCATTCAAGCCATTCCGATTTTCCCTTAAGTTCACAACAGACTTTCAATGCAAAGAAGGGACAGAGTCTCACCTTAACATCAAAATAAAAAGGAACTAATCAAGTTGTTAAGCAGCTTCTTCTTTACCCCTCTTCATCCAAAGGCTTCAGCATCCCATCAATACCGTAATCCATTGTTTCCCCCCCCCCTTTATCCAGTCCCCTTTAAACCTATTCAGAATGGCAAAAAAAAAAAAAAAAAAAAACCGAAACCCAAGGAAAGATAAGGCCCTCCGGTAATCTCACCTCGGTGAGTCCTGTCTGGATAGCAGAGGTGATGGGAGATAGCGGCCAGGCCAGGGCTGATGCCTGCTCCTCACCCCACACAACAAAAGGCAGATTTCTCTTTCCTCCCTCTGCTAATCTTGAAATGTAAATTCTCTCCGCCAGCTAAGAGGAGCGACAGATAACATGGTACATCTTCACTTCTCCTGGTCTTATCGACTTCTGAATCGTTCGGGAAGGGGGAGAGGAAAAGAGAAAGGCCGCCTCCCCGCGCCCCCCTGCCTCCCGCCCCCCACCCCTCCCTCCTCCCGGCCCGCCCCCCGGCCCCCGGCCCCCCCGGCCGCCGAGATTACCTTCTGGCAAAGCAGCGCAGGAGAGGCGGCCGCCGCCGCGCAGGCAGCCCCCGGACCGCGGCTTTGTATTCATTAAACACACATCGGAGCTTATCAGAAGTCAGAGGCTTGTCGGGATGGCACATTGTGTGTGAGTGAGTGTGCGGGCGCACGAGGGAGCCGAGCGGAGCCGGCGTGCATCGGGGTGATTACAATATCAGCAGGGCCCAGATGGAGGCAGGAAAATAAACAGAGGGTGCGTGTGAGACGGCGCGGGAGACGCAGGGGAAGCGGGAGAGAGAGAGGCGACCGGAGACGCGGGCTGCAGCGAAGGAGAGGGACCGGCGGGGCGGGGGGCAAGGGGGGCGAGCGAGGCGCCCCCAGGCTGGCCGAGGCTGACCCGTCTTCCCCCCCACCCCCAGTCCGTCCCCACCCGGAGAGAGAGCGGGGGGAACCCGGACTAGCAAACTGCCTTTTTCCCTTGCTCCGGGGATGGCGGGGGGGAGCTGGGATGCTAACATTCCGGGAGCTTCTGTCAAGGTCAGAGGGGCATCCAGAGCCCGCTTTTTGCAGAAGCTTAACAACGAGGCAGTCACCGGGTGACCTCCATCCGGAGAGACCCAAGTTGCCCAGCAAACCCCGGGAGTCCTCACGGGCAACGACACAGCCCTTCCCGATCGACCTCAAGTGGGAGTTTTCGTCCCTTTCTTGGCTGGCCCAGAGACTGGCTTCCATCCCCTGCCCACATCCACAGAGACGGCTGTGGGGCGGATACAAACGCTGGCATCTCCCTGGGCTTGTCAAGGTGGCCCCAGCGGCGCCGGGAGGAGACGCACTTGTGACTGGGAGCTACAGGTGACTCCCAGACACCTGCTGCACCCCCAGAAACTGTGCTGGCGGTGGGGGCTCCTGGTGTGTACATCCGAGAGCCTATTTTGGAGGTGGGAATTTGAAATCGAGGCACTCAATCCCGGCTTGAGCTTGCCTCCACAGCTCGTCACCCCACCCCAGAGCCCAGAAATCAATCAGACACCAAGCCGGGAGCTAGCGCTCCTCCCAGTCCAGAGTGCCTCTTCCACCCCCATCAGGGTCTGCAGGGAGTACACCTGAGTGGTCTCCTGGGAGCCCCCTTTCCCCTTTTAAATGCACCCGTCAGCCAGCCAACGTGAACATCTGATCAGATCCTTAATGGAGTGCAAATAATGCAGCAAAGAAGGTTATTTTATTGGGGGGGGGTAGTATCTGGTCATGTTGCACTTCAAGGCACTGAAGCTTGGTTAAAGAAGCTCATTCAGTATGAAGGGTGAGTTCGGAATAAAGAAGCCAATAAACTCCAGAACTGTTCCTGACATACACTATAGCCCCTGCTGCAGTGAAACTTCAGACGGTAAAACAGTTTGTGCACTGGGGCTCGACAGTTTGGGGTGAGGGGAAATAAGGCTAGTGATTACAGAAAAACACCAACATCGAAGTGCAAGAGCCCTAGCAGCCGCCTCTGAGAGGAGACAAATCTGAAGACATTAAGAAAATCAGGAGAGGCAGGGGTCACAAAGAGGGGGCCACAGCTGAGCCCCCGAACCACAACAGCAAACTGATGAATCAAGCACTCCTCTCCTAACCACTTGCTCAAAAAGTTTTATGAGCAGTGGATCCCTGGCCCCCAAGCTCCCATCACCCCAAGAAAACAATTAAGGGAAACCTGATAGGTCAGGTAAAGTGCAAAAAGCTAGGCATTGGTGGAGGAAGGGCATGTGTGAAAAATCTTGTCATGCAATGAATGTCAGATGAAAAGGGCTCTGCCACAATCCACCAGTAAGCCAATCACGTGGAAAACCTCCGGGTATCAATGAGAAGAGGAGGTACTACTTCCCCAGAAATCTTCAAAAAGTGAGCAGGTTCAATAGTTATACCAGGGTGCAAGGACAGGGAGGAGGCTGTTTGGCAGGAAGTGTTCCCAAATCGAGTGCACTCTAAATGAGTGAAAATCTGTCATTCTTAACATGTTTTAAATGTAACAGCAGATTTCTAGAGTATCATTATAGCTCTCATAAAGGGTCACCTTTCACTTTTTCTCTAGCTGCTATGGAAAACTGTATTCAGGATAACCAGGTGAAACCATATATACCTGCCCCTTTAATACATCTTAGTTAGATCAGTTTGGACAAAGACTACAGACACACGTTTATAAATCCAATGCAAGTCTAGGAAGTAAAAAATACAACTTACAAATGCCAACTGATTTTTCCATTACATGCGTTTTGAAAAAATGCTATTTATAAAACAAACAAAGCCCTACTACTTCCACAGAAAAGGCTTACATTTTTCTTTAAAAAGCATCCAGACACTGAAGGTATGAAGAAAACTGCACAAAAGCTTATCTGCCAATGTTCTTGTTTTGTGAAGGCATACTATTTCTATTACTACCTTGTTTGTTCACTGACTTTTGGCTCACAGTTACAGAAAAGATCAACCAATTCTCAAATGGGAGGAATCCATGACTTTCTTCCAAAGCAAACACTTTGCTGCAAAGCTTTCAATTTAGAAAAAAGCAATATAATAATCAAGAAGTACAATCATAGAATAAGTGTACAACAGGAAGTGGTTTCTATAATCACAGCTGTCTTAAAGGCCAGGCTGGAGACTAGAAATCTTAATTTCAACTAGTTCTTCTCTTAATAATAGGTTACCTTCCTATAAAAGCAAGAAGTCCATCTGTCTCAAGCAGATAAGTTTTGAAGCATTAATTCAGATAAAAATCTAGCATTTTCTTTGAGTATGTGAATTCTAGTGTGCTATAATGTGAGAATTCCAACATATGACCATTATGGCATAATATCTCATTGCTCAGCTTGTCATTATTTCATTTGTAATTCTTATGTTAATTATGTTCATAATTACTATAAACAGATGTGGTAGAGATTCATGTGACCTTTTATTGCAGAATGAATTCCTCACTCATTTTGCTTTAATTTCTCATGTATGTGAAACTGAAATGCAAAAAAAAAGGCTTTCTAATTTCCTAATGTTTTATATGTATAAGTTAAAACCTACCTTCTACTTCATCTGCATTTCAAAATACTAGAATATTCTTAACATTTAAGCTGCTTTCCAGCACATTTTAAAATTGCACACGGAATCTCACTGCTGCTTACTAAAGTGTAGCTATGGATGCCAAACAAAGACTAGCATCCGTGTCTAAGTTGTTTGTCTTCCTTTTTTTTTTTTTAATATCAGAGGTTAATGCAGCAGAATTGTGCTTCAAAACCAAGTGCCTAGCAGCTACATAGCCATTTATTCACTCATAACTCAACCATCACCCTCTTTACATAAAACACATTTACAATAAAATCAGTATGGATTTCATTAGCTGAAAACCTCCTCGAATTTCATTTCTTTGGCCCTAATCTATAATTAGTGTGGACAGACAGGTGCAAACCCTTCTCTTCTACAGATGGCTACTGGAAATGGTGCAAAGTAGCTCCTTCTGTTTAAACAACACAGAGATAACCTGCTCTGTCTTATCACTTACAATTACCTCCATTAAACTGAACTAATGTTTGCTTTAATAAAATGTCCACTGTTCTTTAAACATTATTTAGGAACTCTTATATTAATGGCTGTAAAAAAGTGAAGCTGGAGCGTGTCTCTTTAGATAATAAAAAATAACTTATTCTGGATGAAATGTTCTCACTGATGGATAATATTCTAAGGTTCACAAAGGTATTTTAGTTGACTTAACATTTGTCAGTTATTTTGCATAAAAGGGTCAAATATGGTATTTTTAAAAGGCATCTTGGTGACAAATTATTTAACAAGTAAAGAAATTTAGAACTATGAAATGTTTAATTTATTATAGATTTTAACTTATGGTTGAACTCCTAAAATCCCAGATTGTTTTCAAAGGGTATTTTATGTTAACCTAATTTTATGTATTTGTTTAACTTCTGATGGATTCTGAAAGTTGTACGAAGGCATCATTTTAAGGCACATTTTAAAAATTAACCATGCATGCAAGTGCACTCTGTAAGCACATGGTTAAAAATAACACCATTTCATACTAAATAACATCTATAAAGACAGAGATCACTTCTCCCTGCTTCTGCTATCAATAAAGTCTGTGAATCACTAGATGATGAATAAGGTGTCCATAAAACAAAGAACTTTTAAATGTCCAAACATCAACAAATAGCTTTTCTCACTGAACTTACATAACTTACAGTAATAAGACTCCAGTAAAATGCAACTGAATCTTTTTTTTCACATGCAAATCCTGCAGGTGCCAATTTTTGAGACTGCTTTGCTATGAAGGGCTATGCTGCCTGCATAAAACCTCAGTGAAGAAGGGTTTGCATTCAGCACCTGTCAGCTGATGTTCATATCAAAGAAGTGAGAAACACGATTTGACAGTGAAGAATGTCCTAACCTGACAACCACTGACCAGCATTCCTATTGGAAGCATTTCTTTCTCGTGATCCCTTTTCAATGTTGGGAAAAAAGAGAAGTTTTTTTTTTTTTACAATAAAATAAGCTTCTATTTTTATAATAAAATAAATGATAATGGCCCCTTACATTTGTGTACTTCTTTACTATTTATGAAGTGTTCTTTCATCTGCAAATATTTATACTAACACCCTGGATGGAAGAATTCATCATTAAAATCTAGCATCAAGAACAATATTTTACTTTTCTTCAAAAAGGGAAAATTGTAAAAATATAAAGCTGCAATTTTGTAGCTGCAATATGTACTGTCCTACCTTTTCCAGCAGCTTGCAACTTGATAGGGCAGTTTGCATTGTACTACAAGAAGAATGTATCTTATTAGGAAAGCCCTTTTATGGATCATATTTAAATCAAATTATTAGCAGATATTAGTGAACCACAGAGACTAAAGCTATAAAGGAAAATAGCATTTCAAAGATTTCTGGTCTGCTTTGAGCTGTCCAAACATTAAAGAAAAAAATACACCATTTTTTCCACTTCTTTTATTAGATACGAACTGGACACTGGAGAAACTCCATACTCAAACTCTCCCACTCAGTATTTAGCTTTTCAAATAAAGTGACTGCTGTCTAAATGGTTTACAAAAAATTATGAATGCTTACACAAAGTCTTCTAACATAAAGTTCTTCTCTTAGTATGATCGCAGATAAAGTCAGCTTTTATACACCCAGAATGAGCCTGATTCCTTGATTATTTAGTGGAAATTCTTTCTTTTGAAAGAATAAGCCAAAGAAATGCTAAATACAGTATAGATAAAGCAATGTTAGACTTCAACTTCCTCAATATCCTTCCTGGCTGCAAAAGATGCCTAAGTCAAACACTGGGTGAGGCTGTCAGCCGTCCCTTTAAAAATAACCACCCATAAAAAGAAAGAAAAGAAAAAGAAAATCAGACTGTCCCATGCATGCTACCTGAAAGCCCCTACAATGTTAAAACTAGAACTGACGTGAAGAATAAACAATGGGGAAAGATCCAGAGAATTATGAATTTGCTTCTCTTTGTACACATCACATCTGACATAAGCATCTGAGTTTGGGCCAGGATGGTTTAAGAAACAATTCTGTTTGTTCACCTTTTCTAAGGAACTGTAATGACAGGAGTGACTGGCCACAACAGAATGCTCACATGGTCAAAGCAAAAGACTGCAAAAAACTAAAAAAGGCCCAGGACACTACCGGTTTATCACTGAAAAGCTGATCAATTTGTATTCTAGCGAGTGTGGACTCACTGGGCACAGACCCAGTTTCACTCCCGTTCTATGCAAAGGGAGGGTTATGACAATAAACGACACTGAGTGCGCTTAAAAATGGTACATGTTTTGGGGGGGGGGGACCTGTAAAACAGATTTCAGTTCACACAGAAGGTAGAAAGAGAAAACGCCTTGGTCAGCAACCCAACCTTTACCAGGGGATAAATCAAGTTGCAGCAGCTGTGGACAGCCATTTATATCAAGGCCCTGGGCAGATTAATTAAAGGGAGCGAAGTTAAAAATTCAAGGGGGCCTGGAATGACATGAAGCACTCACGTTGGTCTGGAGTGGCCTCCCCCCCCAACTCCTGACCTTCACTCCCCGGCCCTGGACTCTTGGACTGGTCTTCTGGAGCTCCTCCGCGGGGGACACTGGCGATTCCTTAAAGTGACACTCTGGTGCCAGGCTGAGGCGGGTTTGGCTTTGAGATGCCCAGATCTTGAAGAATAGCTATGCTCAAAAGATTTCAACCGCCAGGACGCTTTGCAAGGAATAAGGAAAACAAGGGCTGCAAGGGCTCCCCAGCCAAATCCTCCAAACTTGAAAAGCGCGGGGGGGGGGGGGGGGGAATGGGGCTATTTTTAGTAACAGTCTGGGTTCACATCCTACTTCCTGGAATCTGTACTCAAACTTTTCCAAGGATTGACTGCCCTTACCCCACCCCAACCTCCATAGAAAGTTTCAAAAAAACAAACAAAACGGGTGTAAGCGCCTTGTACCCACCGAATTGTCTTTCCTTAGGGGGGGTCCTGGCCAGCGTCAGATCCGCCCAGGGAGAGGGGTCTGGGTGCACCGATCACCCCAACCCTTTCAGTCCCCCAAAGAGAGCGCTGGGGCCGGGTAAACGAATTGCATCCCCGGGACGCAGCTCCCCGTCCGGGCTCCTCCAGGCGGGGGCTCGGCTGCCCAGCACAGGGCTCCTCACTCTGAAGAGGAGACGGGAGCCCCCATCGAGGCTGCGCAGGGACCCCCCAAAGGGCCGGGGCGCCGGAGCCCCCGGCGCGCGGAGGTCTGGGCCGCAGGGACGCTGCCCACTCAGCCGGGACGGCAAAGCCCAAACCCGTCGCGGATGGCAAATTCGGATCGGGAGACCCCGACTGGAGTTCGGGGTCGGGGGGCTTGGCCCGATCTCCGGGGGCTTCCCATCCGATCACTCCGCGAGCCCAAGAAGAAGACCAGGGCGAGTTCGCAGGGTGGCCACAAAGCGCCCGGGGACCGCTCTAAGGACCCCGACCGCAGCCGCCACCGGGGCTCAAAAGTTAAGATTCCTTCTCCTCTCCTGATCCCAGAGCTAAGTTTTCCACCATCAAAAGCAGACTTTGCAGTTTAAAAAAATATTTTAAAAAAAGGTGAGGGTCTAGGGCCACCTGCCACCCTCACCCTGGGTACCTTGCCCGGGGGTTCGGTCGGGGGCGGGTGGTGGGAATAAGTATGATCTTCCAGCTCTTATATCGTCATGATGGAGAGAAAAGAAAACGGGGGGCAGCAGGGCGGAGAATCTGAGAGTGAGACGGCACCCCCGCCTGCCCCGTGAAGTTCAGTGTCACCGCAGCCGGCAGCGACTCGCGAGGCTCTTCTTCGCCCCGGTGCGTGGCTCTACCCTAGTTCAGCGATGGGGACAGCCCGGAGCCTCCCGGCCGAACAACCCAAACGAAGGGGACGGTCATCAGAATGAGAATTAATAACAACCAGGGCACCCCCCACCCCGGTGCCCCCAGTCCCCGCCGCCCGCGGGCACTTACACTGCACAGGGCCGGAGAGTCCCACCATCCGCCACCCGCTCCGAGGTGCCAGGAGAACTTGCCGTCTTCTCCGCCGGCCCGCCGGGCGAGGGGCCGAGGGCGCGGCGCCTCTCCTGGCCCCCGAAGGGCCGGCGCGTCCAGGACCGCGGGCCCGCGCGCGCGCTCGCTGCGAGGCCGCCGGGCGCCGGTCACCGCGAGTCGCGGGGCGAGGAGCCCGGGGGTCGGGGCCGCCGGCCAGACGCCGCCTCCACGCGGAGCAGCCCCGGACGCGCGGCGCGCCGCTCCTCCCTCCCTGCCTCCCGCCCCTTCCCTGCGGTCGCCGCGGCGGCAGACGAATGGGATGCGGGGCGCGGGGAAGCGCCCCCGTCCCGGGCGGCGTCTGCGTCGGCCTCGCGCGCCCTCGCTCACTCTCGAGGAAGGCGACGCGCGGGGCGGCGGGGCGGCCGCCGGGCAGCGGGGGCGCCGCGCGCTGGGCGCCGAGAGCGCGCGCGCCCGCGCCCGGGGCGCCGTGGCCGCTCCCCGGGGCCGGGAGGAGGGCCCGCGGCAGCGCGGGGGGCGCGGGGGGCGCGGGGGGCGCGGGCGGCGGGCGGGGGAGGCGGAGGACATCGGTGCCGTGCGGGGTCACGGGGTCAAGTGTAAGTTAACAATGGGCTGGCCCGGCCAGCCGGGGCGCGCGGGCCGCCTGTCTCCTGGCCTCGCCCTCTCCGGAGCAGGCTGGACTTGGGGCCGGCTCCCTAGTGATGCTTTCCCGGGGCCCCGGGCGCCCTGCAGTAACCCAAGACGACCACTTTCCCCGGCCATCTGGAGCGCTCCTGGCTGCCCTGCCTGCGTCTCATCACTGGCTGGAGACACAGCTCTGCGAGCCATCAAGCCCCGCTCAGATCTCCTCTCTCTTAATCCCCTTCTGTTAGCTGATTTCCAGACTGACTGTTTGCTTTCGCATTAGATAATAGCTTTAGAGAAAACAATTATCATTTTCTTTTTCCCTTTGTTTTTCTACTTCTCCCATAGTATGCCATGAAGAGGGGGCCCTTTTCTATCTCACGGTGTTTTTTTGTTTGTTTGTTTTTATGGGTTGTATCCCCCCTCCCCCAGACATTAATATCAATCCTGAGGGTGGGGGTGTCCCTGGAGAAAAAGATACGGTGAAAGAATTCCAGTTATTTCCAAAGTAAATAAATAATCTCGCAGTGAACAGAACTGACAGTTTGTTTGTACAGAGCAAAAGGGGCTTGGATAATAATGAAAATATTAGTATGTAGGTCAAATATGATCAGATAATGGCTGGCGATGATGAGTAAAATGAAATCTTTAAAAATTATTATGGAACAGTGCCGTGACAGCAAATGTTATTATATTTAGTGTAACAATTTGAAATCCTGCTCTGAACCAGGTTTTTTTTTTTCCCAACTGGCCTACATCAGTGCAACATATCCTGTGTGTGTGCGTTTCTAAATTTCGTCTTTACAAAGGAAAAGATGTTTAAGATAAAGTCAGAATGGGCCTGATGCAGGGGGAACTGATGAGACGTTGGTAGGTTTTATTTTTTTAAATGGTGCTTCAAATATTTAGTAGTAAGATCCCTTCCCCCATCCATTTAAACCCAGCTGGAGCTTCCAGTTCTGAAGTCTCAGATTCTACTAATTTTTTGCAATTCATTTTCAGAAAATACTCATTGTAAATTCTGCCCTCTCTTTGGGACATTTGACTAATGAATTGTAATGGATTAATGAATTGTAATGTTAAGTCTTGATATTTGATATTTGATGTTCTTAATTTGAATCTCAAATTTTATCAAGTTGTACATTCTATAGTAGTTTCTGCCTTACAGCTGTTTATTTTTTGCTCTCCTTAGCAGCATTAATTATCTTAAAATATAAAATTTTATGTATACTTTAACTCCGTTGTATAAGAAATTGTCAAAGCTTACTTGTATTTTCCTTAAAGAATCATGAACACTTTAATATTTAATTATTCTATTACTTGTGTTATTTCTTCTATCCCAAAATTGAAAAGCAGGAATTTAGATACCAGGACTATACATTTATTCTTATTTAAAATTAATAAAATGAAATCTGAATCAGGAATGATTCTTGTGAAATAGTGTTATTTCTAAAATCATAAGGCTTCGAAATAAAGTAAATCAACAAGTTTTAGGATGTAAAAAAAATAGGGGGAGAAATAAAATATACATATTATGCTATATTTTTCTTCTTTCTGTAAATTGTGCCAAAGTAGGTGTGAAATTATGATAGAAACATTAAACTTCAAAATCAATGGAAAACAACTTGCAGGAAATCAAAAACAGTTTTACATTTTCAGGCCATATTCACAACACAAAGGCATATATTTAAATCCTGTTTTATAAGATTCTACAAAGCTTATGGGATTCTCCCTTTTGGTCATTCTTCTGTAAAAATGATAATCATTGTTCTACTTGTACTTCTTAAAAAATTCACAACATTTTCTACTCAATTTGACTTCACATCAGATAGAATGTCACTAAATCTGAGCGTTTTTAAAAATTCTGATAAGAGCAGCTGAAGAATGTACATCCTGAGGCTAATGTATAGTGACTCAATATATTCCTTAATCCCACTTCCCACTCCCTTTAAAGGCCTATGTCCTACAAAGGTAGAACACATTTTTCTGTAGAGTTTATCCTTCTATAATCTCCTGACTCCTCTGTTTGGAGCAAATGGTAGCAAAAGAAACCAACTCAAGTGTGAGGTGATTCCTGAATTGTAAAATCTAGGAAAATAAAACATTAAATGGAAAGGGAGGGGCTCATTCATAAGTGTGGTTGGGAAGGTGTGAATTGCCTGAAAATGATACAAGTCCACAAACTATTTCCTTACCCTAGCCTTCCGTGGGAAATACACATGACATTGTATTCATCATGCAGTAAATTAATCCTTGATACATTAAAAAATAACTATCTAAAGGAGACAGGAATTAGTATTGTCTTTCTGCCACTCACAGGAGAAATCAGGTATCTCTACTTTCAGGACTTTCATTTTGTTGAACAAAAAAGAAAATCTTAAAAAAAATTTTTTTTTAAATAGGCACCTACGCACCCTAACAAAACCATTAAATTGAAAAATAAGATACTCAATAATACATTAAACTATAAAAACCCCTACTAGCAATTTTTTTCTCACATTCTTAAATTTTTCTTATTGTAAAGGTATCAAGTTTTTTCAGCTTACAGATTTTTTTTTCATTAATGTTACCTAAGACTGCTCTTTGTGTCTCCTTAAGCCAATCTTTTAAAAAAGCAGAATTTCCAACACAAATTTCAGATGAGTGCTTATTATCTTCTTTAGAGATATGTGATTCACCTCTCACAAACAGGAATTCCTGGACAAAATTTTAACAAGTTCTTAATTAACGCTTTCAAAATTGCTTCTTACAGACATTAAAGTTTGAATGAGTCATAAGCTGAGATTTTTCTATATACTTTGAAAAAGTCTTCCTGTTTTCTTAGGTTGATAAAAAATCTTAATTATTTTTAATGAAAGTTATTGTATTTGTGAAAAAAATAGAATATGATAAACATAAAGGACAGGAAACAATGATCATGTTTTCATCAGTGAAAAGCTTCACCATATTTGTCACTTCTCTCGCTTTTGCTATGTAGTTTTATGTAGCTTACTTTTTGAGCTTTTTATGGACAAGTTTTATTCCAAATCTTTGCAACTTTGTTATTTAACTGGTTTAAGGTTTAATTTTAGAATACGGACAACAAAAGAATAACTTTTAGAGATCTTATTCTGTAAGTGTACAATGTAAATACATTAGCTCTTAGGGACCTAAGATAATAAATAATTTTTTTAATATAAATTTGCAAATTAAACTAAAATGACTCTGAGACTTCTCTGGCAATCCAGAGGTTAAGACTCAGTGGTTTCACTGCAGGGGGCATAGTTGCAATCCTGGGCTGGGAAGCTAAGATCTCACTTGCTATGTGTCATGGCCAAAAAAAAAAAATGGCTCTCATCATACCTGCAAATAAACTGATTAGATTGGTATGATTCAGCTGCAGATATGTTTTTCTATACTACTTTAAAGCCAGTCTTCATGTAAAAAGCCAAAGTTGGAAAATTTCAATTACTTATTTAATTTCCAAAAGGAATTGTTTTTTAAGTTTGGAGAGTTTTATAAAAGAATTCATATTAGTATTTCTTTAAGTAATGAGTTTTACTCTTTAAATATTTGTATTCCTCAGAGTTTGACACATTAAACTCTGCAGGATTGAATTTATTGCATAATATGAAACACACACGTGCTACATGACATACACAAATAAGTGTTTTTATACGCACAACTATCTGTAAGCTAGTAAATATCTCATGTGACGTTTTATTGCTAATCCATGACAAATAATGATGCAAAAAAAAAAATCTTAGTTACTTATTTCTAATTTACACTGAATGTTTCCCACCTCCATCTTTGAAAGTTGATTTTTAAAATACTATAATCCAGAGTAAAACCTTAGAACACCCATCCCCCACTGAGATTCTATATTCCCCATTTTTTTTATTGAATGTGCTCAGAGAAGTTATTTTTCCTCTTTTGCTGTTTTTTG